TATCTAAAGATTATAATATTAATTGATTTAAAGATTGTCATTTTTGCAAAAATAATTATCATCAAATTGTTGCTATATCTGCCCTTTAAGATAACGACATACGCAGAAATATCTTTTTAATATCAAATATCATTGCGTAATAAAGATATATTTAGTTTATCGTTTCCTTCATAACATCAAGATTTTTTTTTTCCAATCGACTTAATATTGACAGACATTTTAGCACAACTGTCTGTCCACCCGTCCGTCTCTTTGCTCAGCTATTTGCATTCATTTAATTTTTATTAATTTAATCGTTAACCATCTTCAAGTGAAAAGTCAATTTATGTATGTACTTCCGTCAGTCTCTCTTTACGCAGTTTATTAAGTAGAGTAAAAGTTCCTTATCCGCACTTCTTTCATTCGTGGTTTCCTTATTCGCGGGTTAAAAAAATGCGACACAATTCCTCTATTCGCGGCTATAAATTTCTTTATTCGCGGATTCTATTACTTACATACATAAGAATAAAAAGTTTCTAATAGGTATCCAAACCAAATTCCGTATTCGCGGTTTCTGTATTCGAGGCTACATATCCCCCGCGAATAAGGAACTTTTACTGTACCTAAATAGTATTGGACTGGGATGACGCAATTTAGTATATTTATATATCTCGCTTAATCTGCAACAAACACAAGCCGATTTCGAGCTGTCCATCCGTCCATCCATTTGTGTCGGCCTTTTCGTGGAAAAGAGTCGATAGAAAAGTAGTGAGACGAAGTTTGATCTTCGCATCTTTTACCTTATGTCTAATCAAATTTTTGACTTTGGCAGGTCGGTCCGTCCGATCATTCGTCAATAGAACGCTATACTTTAATTCATGTATTTTTATTAAGTTAATCCTTCATAACTTTGAGAAGGACACTCGATTTGTACATGTACCTCCGTCCGCCTCTCCAAACCACCTATATTATATGTTTGAATTGAACGATAAAACTTCGCATTTATTTGCTTTCTTTAGTTTTTAAGAAACGTTGAAAACAGAAGTTCAACTAAGTCCGTCCGCCTTTTTGTTTAAAATTCGAAAGTTGTAAATAGAGAAATACTTATGCCAAGCTTGACATCTGCTTTCTTTGCTTAATTCTTAGTCAAGTTTAGCTACAGGCATGTCTAGCTGTCCGTCTGTCCCCTTATTATTTGTTATTGGTTTTAAAATAAGCAATAATGCAGAGGCCAAATTGTGACCTAAGGTTTTTTCTAGTCTTCCATCATTTGGAGATTAAGGCTCTGGTCTCCACACTTCCACTATCCACACTTTCCCCGTAAGAAATATTGAGATGTGAACCTGAATTTACTTACGTACACTTACTTCTTAATCGATTTAGCTGCGGCCATCTGTCGGTCTTGTTTTTAAATAAGTAACGTTCAGGTTTTTCTCACTACGTGGGCAGGAACCCAATAGCAAATATCGATTTGGAGAATCATAATAGTTGTGTTTAATCTTCTATAAGTCTTACTTCGAACAAGTCTGGCCGTCTTAAAAATACTCAAAGAAGCGTATATTTGTTACCTTATCATCAATCAAGTCTCCCAAGATCACTTTCCAACCACCGCAAAATTCGAATTTAGCCTTTGTGTCCATCCATATATTTTTTTCGTCTCTCAAAAAGGCAAATTTGTACATAGAGATTTGAAATTTTGCTGGAGCTTTGTTGGGCGAGTTTCGTAGATTAAATTCTGAATCTGAACATAACTTGAAGAAAAGAATTTTTGTTCCTTTTGTCAAAACTTTGCGGCTCATAATTCGCTATTGATCAATATCTTAGTGGGAATATTTGTCGACCTTTGTCAACAGCGACTTTCTATTTTCTATAAATCTTTCATTTGTAAATCTATTATAACTTTTAACGTAGTCTTTTAGACTCCCACCCTTTCGTCGCGTTACCCTTTCAGTTTAGGATTAGTATCGCGATGATGTAGTTGGATATTCAAAGTTCACCTTAAGCAGAATATAGTTTTATTTTTTATTCACTGTCTGGATTAAAAAATTACATCTGTTTTTTTACTTCTGATAATTAACAGAATTCGCTCTCGATGGGCCTTTAAATAGTGCTGTCATTAAGTAAAGTCGTATCATTTCTTTAGTTAACGGCAGACGGTAATGAGATAAAGAGTTTCTAGAAAAATTCATTCATTTGTTGTTTCGTTAACCGTAAGCGGCAATAATGGTGAAAAATACATTTCTTGACAAACGTTTATTAGCGTGTGCTCGACGACGCCTACACTTGTTAAACAAGGGGGTGAGTGTTCTTCATACAATTCTATGCATTATTATATTAGTGCTGGTGGTGTCGGGCTAATTTTGTTTAAAAGTGAAACACAAAAGCAAATTTTTTTTTTTTTTTTTTTTTCTGTAAAAGTTTTTTTTTTTTTTCTTGTAAAGTTATTATAGTGAGTGAGGTGTGCAATTTAAATAGATCTAAAGCGGGTGAAGAACAGTGTACGTGGCTATTAAGGCTAAATAGCTAATGCTAGGTACACATCGTTCATTGGTTAAGATAATTCCAGGCACTTTATTAGGAAGTATTGTTCTTCTTTTTCCCCTTTCTTGCCTATAGATTCGCAAAAAATAAGAATCGATGTACTGGGAAAATGCAAACAGTGCTTTATGGAGCAGACAACGAAGTAAAAGAACAGCAAAAATAACTTTTTTGCTCATTTTTTTTTTTTTTTTTTTTTTTTTAAGGATGCGGGAAAGCCTTAAAAGTCTAAAGTTACTGTGCAGTAAAATTCAGTTAAACCTTTGACGTTGTTCCTTTCAACACTACCGCTGTGGTTTACAGCATTCGGCAGTCAAGCTGCTGTAAAGATCCTGAAAAGGGCATATAATAACCTCTAAGCTTCTTGAAGTTGCCTTCAAGCCTTGCACGTGCTAGGGAAGCACAATGAGATGGACATACCTACGGCATGCGGTCATTCAGGGATTGAAAGCAATGAAAGGGCCGGTTGTCTAGCCAACAGGAGGGGTCCGTAGGGCTATCGTAGGCCCGGAACCTTTCTGTAGCGTGTCAAGGAGCCACATCAAGAGGTCGATATATCGCAGTGGACATATAAATTTGAACAAGCCCTTGAAAATAACGGCAAGTTAAAAGATTTATTTAATCTTCCAGCGACGTAACCGGCTACTTTACGCGTCATAATTCTCTCAGATACCACCTGAAAAAAATGAGATTCGAAGATATTATGGGGGCGAAGATGGGAACGTGTCATCACAATTCGCGAATGTCGGCAGGATAAGAAACCATATGTTTGGCGAACACTTTATAACGCTGAACACGTATGACATCCAGACACCTTACCTACGAAAGTGGCGAAATTCATAATAATCAATATATCGTTTTATGTCGCAGCACAGTTTGTGCTCACCCCATTACAATACAATACAATACATCGGAGGAAAAGTCTCCTATCCCCATTAAAATCGAATCAACCTATCCTACTACAAGTTCACTGCAAAAATTCGTTAGGATATCATATTTCATCAAGATATCCCGGAAATTACGACCTAAAGGTTGAAAACAAAAAAGAAAAAGATTGTCGGACGGATGGACGAACGAATTTTAATCAATGCAGGAAGTAATTCTGATTCGATCAGTATAATAAAAGCTGTGTCTTTTCCATGTCTTTCCTCCATCCACATAACCTTAATGTATCTTGGTGCTGGTGTATGGTGTAAAAAGCCTGCACTCTCTCTGAACTGCCGTAGCCTCTCTCGTCAGGTTTCCCCCATTAGAAGGAAAAGAAGAAAAACGGAAAGGAGGGGAAATAATGCAAATCCCCAAGCAAGCGGAATAGGCAAGTGTATGGGAAAAATGACGATACCGTTGTACGAAGCCGCAATAGACATAAATATTAGTTATTATTAGAGAACAAAACATTTATTTCAATTGCTTATTAACTATGGTGTTAGACCAATCAATCATGGGTCTAAGAAGCAACTCAACAAGAGGTTTTATACGAAAGCCTGGAAAAAATATGTTTGCTCTGAAATAAAAATTGTTTTAATAAAAAAGCATTTATCACTTGTATGAATTGCTTGAGATAAGTAAGAAAATATGCGGTTAAGCCGTTTTTTTTTTTTTTTTTTTTTTTTTTTAAGAATAATAAATATACGTTTTAATTGCTTGTGACGACGAGAGAACGACACGGACGAGTGTTGCGCTTTCTCAATATAATGCGATATTCAATTTGAAGAAATCATTTCAACATTTATTTACAATTAACGAAACGTAAAAAAAAAAGAAAAAAAAAAAAAAAAAAACTTATCATCATTGAACGCTCTACGACAACGGATTCTTGTAAATGTGTCATTAGCAGAGCATTAGTAGCATTCACTTAACAATCTTAATATCTCATGAAATGAAAACAAAAAAAAATCTCATTGTCTTGAAAAAAAAATTCTTAAATAAATTTCAATTATTATTATCATTATTATTAATAATTTTTAATTTTTAATTTAAATTTATAAATATAACGCAACATTAGTTGATTAAGTTGTAGTATCAGTTATTTGTCTGTCTAGTGATCACACTACGCTGACTGCTGGAAATTTTCTTTTTTTTTTTTTTTTATACTTTATATTAGATAGCTTTAACAATCACATATATATACATATGTATGTGTGTGTATGTATATTCAATTACTCGTTAAAAGCTATTTGTTTACATTTTCTTCAAAATTTAGTTTGGCTATGACCAATGGAAAGTAAGCAACACTATTACACTTAGTACAGTTTATCTATTGCTAGGATTTTTCTAAATAACAAACAAACAAACGCACACACAAATACCAACACAACAAATTCTATCTCGCTCTCTCTATCTCTCTCTATCTCTCTCTATAGTCATTCCAATATATATTCTGCTCTTGAAATATAATTTTAATGAAAAAAAAATAAATCAATAAATAAAAAGAAAAAAACTAAATAATTTTTTTTTACAATTTTCTACTTTACCGGCATTAGGTGTTGTCTATGAGCAATGATGACTACCGCAAAGCGTCCATATTCCAAACGGGATCGTTCGATTTAGACTTTCCGATACCTGAGCTAATTGGTACCACCGAAATTTTAACCGAAGAGCATCGGTAAATAATCTTTACAAAAACAATAATTCATAATTTAATTAATTTTGAAAAAAAATAAAATAATTTTTCTGTTTTTTCTTTACCTATGAGCAGCGAAAAACTCTGCAGTCATTTACCTGCTCGAGCAGAAGGCTATTCCTGGTCTTTGGTATTTAGTACATCTTTACATGGATTCTCGTTGAATTCATTATATCGTAAAATGCAACGTCTCGAGAGTCCCATACTGATTGTTATTGAAGATACAGATCACAATGTAAGTATTGCAGAGGACGTGCACACATGGCCCCAATTGGTCAGCCTATGTGCCGACCAGTAAGATACTTTGATTTAATCGTGAGTTTTTCTAGAACAGAGTATAGTACATTACCGGTGAATAAAAGTCAAGTCAAAAAGTCGACCGTTACATGTCGATCCCATAGTTCTATCCAGGAAAAATCGGGAAAACGCAAGTTATAGTTTAGTCCAAATCCGAAACGTTTTTTATAGCGTTTGTTCTTGGACGATAACATGTCAGTAGATTGAATACAAGAGAACAAGGCAGAGAGGTGGACCGACAAGCCAAAATTGATGCAAAAGGTGATTCTGAATCAGAATTAAGAAAGTGATTCCAAATCGATCGATATAGTAAAAAATGCGTCTACTTCAAATCCTTCGGGCTGTTGTGCATACATCCGCAGAAAACTTAATATGCCCATGTACCACAAGTTGTGTAGACTGTCAAAAGAACACAATAAAACCCACCGGACAAATGGACAGACAAGTTTGATTCCGACTCGAACGATATTATAATATCTTTAACACAAACTCCTGAAAAGAATGCTTTATACAGAGTACTGTCGAAAAAGTGGTCGGGCCAAAACACGTCATTGTTCCAAAGTTCATCAAAATATTTCAAAAATTGCTACCTGTAGCTTCAACACAAATTTACATTTACAGATATCAGCCGGTCACATAGGCTTAGATCAATGCAGTTTATGATTCTAAATCGATCGGTATAATGAAAGGTGGACCTACTTTAAGTCCTTCTGAGTGTTACATACGTCTGCACTTGGGCCAAAACAAGATTTCATTGAAATATCTCGAAAATTGCGACTTGTAGGTCCGACACGCGAAAGCAGAACAGCCGGGCAGACAAGCTTGGGTTGATTCAAAACAACTTTCAGTAATCTTAAATTCACCTGGGATTGCAGATATCCACATAATGTCTATAGATAGTTGTAGATTATAAAAAGGAAAGCACGGAAAGAATACAAGAAAACCATCGGACAGACAAGCTTAATTTTGAATCGATCGGTATTATAATGAAAGGTGGATCTACCTCAAGTGTTTGTAGGTGGTGCATACGTTAGCAAAAACTCACTACACCCGTATACCCCAAATGGGTGTACACAAAAAAGCAAGGCGGACAGATAAACTTAATTCCGAATCGATCGGTATTGCAACGAAAGCCAGGTCTACCTCAGGTCTTTCCTGGTGTTGCATACGTCAGCGTGACCGAAGATACCCATCTACCATGTGTAGGGTTGTAAAAACCTCAAATTTCATTATACATAATCCCGAAAATTTATACATAGAAGCCCCATCACTCGCACTAACTGAAAAAAATAGTATTATTTCCAAGACGACTGCGAGGTTAAAAATGGAATACTTAAAGGCTCTTATAGACGACGATAGATAAAAATGAAGAACCATTTGATTGGATTGTACTTTTTTTTTTTTTTGATCGTGTATTTTAGGTTTTTGGCGCTTTAACTTCTTGTTCCCTGCACGTATCGGATCATTTTTATGGTAACGGTGAATCGTTGTTATATAAATTTAATCCCAGCTTTAAAGTATTTCATTGGACTGGGGAAAATCTTTATTTTATTAAAGGCAATGTTGAAAGTCTCTTAGTTGGTGCTGGAAAGTAAGTTCCAAATTTCCTCATATTAAACTGTGGGAAAATTTTTAATTCTTCTTTTTATTCTTTTTTTGATTTTTTTTATATAGCGGCCGATTTGGTTTATGGTTAGATGGTGATTTAAATCAGGGTCGCTCGCAATCGTGCAGCACGTACGGCAATGAGCCTTTGGCGCCACAAGAAGACTTTGTTATTAAAACTCTCGAATGCTGGGCATTTGTTTAAAAGATTTTCTTATGACCACACCCACACAGACACACACACAAACACGCATTAAATACATTACTATCTTTATCGCATTAACACACTATCTTTCAGATCTAACCAGATGTAACATACATACACACACATACACACACAAATACACACACATATACACACGCATTCAATAGATTTCATATAAGTTTTTCATGAAAAATTTTCTCACGCAAATAATGAATTTCATCAAGACTATGATGCAAGCGATTGAATAAAATAATAAAAAAAATATATATATATAAAATAAAAAAGAAGGAGAAATCAATTAATAATCAAAAAGCCCTGAGAAAAAGAAAATAATAATAATAAAAATAATATTAATAATTTAAACTTAATTTAATTTAAAAAACAAGAAAAAAAAAACAAACAAACAAACAAATTGTAGAATTTCTTTACATTGTTGTTATATACGTAAATGAAATCATATTAAAAAAAAAAAAAGAAAAAAAACAAAAAAAAAGAAACGTTTATTATTATATTGAAAATGTGTTTGTATTTAAAAATTATGTATGTAATTATGTGTTGCATAATGATGATGATAATGATGATGATGATGATGTTTAATTAGAATTATGATAGCATTACAATAATAACACATACATATATACATTCATATTATATTTCCTTTATTTTCTGTTTTCTGTTTTTTTTTTTTCTCGTATTTTCCTTTTTAACCCTTAAGAATATTCATTTAGTAGAGCGGCATCATGTGTAATTAAGTTTAAATTAAATTTTAACTTTCAATTTTGTCTTGTCTTAATTTTTTATATTTTATATATCATTCAAATTGAAATCATTAAATGATTTTCAATAAAATAATAATAAAACGTAAACGAATTATTGAAAATAAAATAAGAAATTTTTGTGTTTCAAGAGAAGTTTTATATAAATATACCGTATCTATTATCAGCATTAATTTTTAATTATAAATTATATTCAGTTTTCTTTTTTTCTCTTTTACTAATTTAACGTCAACTTAATAGTGTATGCGTTAGAAGAAGATGAAAAAAAATAAAAAAAATAAAAACAATTATTGAAAATATTTATAACATAAAAATTATATTTTATTTAAAGTTGCATACATGTTGATCACGTCGGCTGGCATTGGTGGTAAATGCAAAAGAGATTTTGATTTGTTGCGTAGAACGAAAGGCTTGCTTTGTTTTTAATCCATTATTTTTTTTTTTTTTTGTAATTTTCGTTTCAAAATGTGAACAAAATATTAATAATCTTAACATATGACCGACAGAGATGTCATAAAGATGTCATTTTTTTTTTTTTTTTTTTGAAAAATATAAAATTTAAATAGTTTATGGAAATCTTATATAGATAATAAAAGACGCCCCACTATAACGAGCATGTAAGAAAATTATATTCGGCTGTGTAACCGAATCTTGAAGAAAACAAGGAAGAACATTATAGTCGGGCAATAAATACCCTATACCACATTGTCCAGCACACTGTTTATTTTTATATGAAATTACTATTATGGGGTCAAATTTTATCACCACATATTAAAGCTTAGACTTTTCTCTGTAAAGGATCAATTTTCGTCAAAATCCTTATTAGGCTAAGATAAAAAAAAAATAGGACGAGCTGATCCAAATTTGGTACAGTTAATTTTTTTATGTTAAATTACTATTATGATACAATTTTCAATGCTTCACGATGAAAGACCTTTTTTGTTTCTTCAGTTTTCGTTTTATAAGAAGGGGTTCAATAAGAGCTCCAACCGGTAGAAAGTTTTCATACCAATTTGGAATGCCGAAGTGCTATTACTTAGCAAGCTTTGACGAGAAATTTTGAAAATTGCGATTTTTTTCCATATAACGAGTTTTCAGAATAGAACGTTATATGGGGGTAGTCGAAAAAGTGGATCGACCGTTCGTTCTTAGACCAAAGTAACAAATTTCATACAAATGTCCCGAAAATTGCGACCTTGCCCCTGAAAATTTACATTGACATTCATCAGATGGACGGACGGACAGACGGACGGACAGACAGACGGACAGGTCTACATCAATTCAGAAAATAATTCGGAATCGATCGGTGTAATAAAAGCTGATTGTTTCTTAAGCCCTTCTGCGTGTTAGATACGTGCGCACTAATTTAATACACCATAAGTCACAAGTGGTGAAAGACGAAGCTTTTAGAGTTTACTAAGAATTTTGGCTATAGGATTAGATATGTTTCTGCAAGTAAAGCGTAAAACGTGCGATTCCGTCTGAAAGCAAAAGCAAAAGAAAGACTTTCGAGCAAAAAATCGTCAAGAAAAGAAAATGAAAAAGAATACTTGAAAATGAAAGGGCTGGTATTACAGGCTATTATTATCTTTCCATCAAAAAAAAAAAATGAAAAACTCTTCCTTTAGGCTGCAAATAGTTTTACATTTCACATATACATATATATATATATATATATATATATATATATATATTCTTGGTCAATCAACATCAAATTCTAAATCGATTTAAGCACGTCCGTCTGTCCGTTTGTTTTAAACATTCTCCTGGCCGCAAAAATGATGCTATTGACTTCAAGTTTCACAGAAATATTGGAAGTTCTCGCACGCAGTTTGGTGTTGAAAATGGGTCAAATCAGTCGAAGGATATGCCCACAGCACCACTTAAACTTAGAACACCTCTTGTTTTTCAAAAGAAATAGAGGATTGGTCTTTTGCTCATTGCCCCTAAACTATAGTCGACAAATGTAGAAAGATTTGAAAGCATATTCTATGGGCGATGCTGTCGCTGTTGCTTTTGTGCACAAAAATGGAAAAGACTAACCTCGCCTATCCTATATTATAGTGTATCAAAATTTGATTTCTTTTTCAATACCTTTATAAGGAAGAGACAAACTTTAAGAATCGCATAAAGTATATAAATTTGGAATGTAATTAAACATGTCCATGTGTCTGTCTGCACAACTGTATATCGGTGGTAACGATCCTACGGTTAGCGAAAACATGCAAAATAATTTGGAAGTGACCTAAACCGGACTAACAGACAAGTCCATACACGTATGCGACAAAAACTTTTATTTTGAAAATAGAAAAAATCGCTCACGCCCACTCTATATTTTAGAATATGAAAATTTATTTATTTTTTTTTTTTTTGTTTTTATTAGAAAAACGGTGATTGGTATAAAAGATTCGGTCACGACCGAATATAATTTTCTTACTTGTTTTTTTATGCAATGGCTTTTACTATAGATTTTGGAGGGTATTTCAAGATTTTTTTTTTTTTTTAAGTTTTATTACAAGTACACTGCAAAGAGATCTTCCAAAAAGGAAAAAAAAAAGATGATTGCTTTCTGCAAAAGCTGCGCAGAGACTTTGATTTTAAGTAATCATATTAAAAAAAAAATAATAATTATTTAAAAAAATTTTTAAATTTCCTAATAAATATACAAACACATGTAAACAAGATTTTTTCCGAATAGATTTATGTAAATAAATTCGAGAAAATGACTCATTGCCATATCATTGGCCACGGAGCAATCTTACCTACCTATGTGTTTAGGAATTAGCTTAGTTGTCAAACGTCCGATCAATGTTCTTTGTGTAGGTTCGAAATTTTTAATGAACCTATAGTGCAATTCCTTTTGAATGGCCCTGTATGAATCTATTCGGGAAGTCATTTCCTTTATTTTTGATTGAAATGACAACCGACGATTGTTTGAATCTTTCAGCAACTCTTTGAATCGTTATTCGTCCGTTTGCATTAGACAATCTCTTTATTTGATCTTCATCAGCTTCAATTGACCTTTTACATCCTAATGCGAACGAAATTCTGCGAACCAGTTTGGTCTTCTGCCAATATAACTTCTTCGTACACATTCGATAATGTTTTCCTCGCTTGAATACCATTTTTACTTTATCGATAGCAAAAATTAAAAATATGCCAAAATTTGTTGCTTTCGACTTCCTATAGCTGATAAGTCACCAACCATGCGCTATTCCGCAGAGTCAAAAAAATCTTTTCAAAAACAAGCCTTGATATAGTAGCTGTCAAAATATATGAAAATGCGGGTCAAGTGTCAAGTTGACTGCAAATAAATGTGAATGTGAAATAACGTTTCGAACAACTTAATATATTCTCTCATTGGTCCTGGCATATCAACCAAAGATGAAATGACTTTCCAAACAAACTAATATATTCTCTTATTGGCCTTCACGCTGCTCGCTCGGTATGTGAGCCAAAGGAGGAGCGACTTTCCAAACACCCTAATATATTCTCTTATTGATCCTGTTATATAAGCCAAAGATGAAATGACTTTCCAAACAACCTAATATATATATATATATAATAGGAATAATTAAAATTGCTAGTGTTTCACTCACAGTTTAAATTCATTATATTATAAAATTTTACACAGATGTCATTTTTGGGATATGCTATATAAAATAATTAAAAAAATTGAAGTTCACAAGATCAAATGTAACTCCAAGCCACATCCTGGTACAAACAGGGTTGGTTTAGTTGAAATGAATAGAAATTGCATTTATTTAAATTAAATATTACTTAGCACAGTAGGTCGTGTATTGTTTATTTCCTGACTGCCAGAAGAAGAAGAAATTAAATAGTAATTAGAATTGAATTGAATTGGATTTGGATTTAAGTTGAATTCAATTGAACGAAATGTGAACTATTGAGAAACTCTGTTAAAATCATCAGCTAAACGGAGCTTCCAAATTGTTGGGAACTTCTGCTAGAATACAATAACAACCTCTTTTCGCGTTTTTATACTTCACACCATTTATGGCATAAGGTTGTATTAAATTTGTGTGATTGTACTCGACACCCAGAAAGTCTTGGACTAGAGGCCTCTTTTATTACAATATGGATCGATTCAGAATCACGCTTGTCAGCCAATCTGTTTTGTTTTCTCGTGTTCTTTCAGAGTTTTCCTTGTATAGCCTACACGGCTTGGAGTACATAGTTATATTAAGTTTGTACGAATGTGTGCCACACCCAGAATGACATCAAGTAGATTCACCTTTTATTATGCCG